GACGGCGGATTTTGTTGGGCGTGCGTTGAAGATGTTTTCGGCCGTCGGAGGCCTCGCGAGGTCCAAGATTCCCCCTGGATGCTTCTCGCAGCGTTTCAAGAGTTCTCCCAGGAGGGCCTCAAGACGGCCCAGTGGCGGCCGCAGCTCTGACGCCGAAAGGCCTGCAAGTGACCCCCCAAACGCCCCCCAGCGTGCTTTCGAGAGCGCCTCGAGAAGCCCCCCAGGAGGGCCCCAAGATGGCCCAGTGACGAACGCGGCTTCGACGCCGAGATCCCCTTCCCCACAAGGTTCAGCGACAGACGACGTTTGACGCTAAGGTCCCCGAGAACCCCGTGGGACGGGGCAGCCGCGAACAGACCTGGGCGCCGAGGCCCCCAAGGGCGAGCGGCGAAGTGAAGCAACTCTTGGCGCCGGGGCTCCCAAAGGGGCAAGGCAGGCCCGAGTTGGTTTCGATTGGCCGCATGTGTGCCCCAAGGCGCCCCCGCGTTCATTGTGTCTCAAGCACTTCCAGCCGAACGGTCCGCGGCTGAAGCATTTTGGGTTCGCGGACTCTCGTTTGCCTCTGCATTGGCGATGAGTGCCATGCGCAGGTCCGGGCCAATCGCCAGACACCTTGCGCGCGATGCATTCAGCGCGCAGCTCGTCTGGCAAGACTTACCACGGCACATGTTGCACGTATCATTCCAATTTTAGTTTTGCAGTTCACCCGTCGGGTCACAATTCAGCGCCACAACGGCAAGGTTGTCCATGCGGAGAACTCACAGCTGGGAGTGATGCGCTTCTTGTGATTCATGAAAACAGCGAAGTCGCACGCTGTGAGAATGTGCTGTCTTTGTTTGTAGAGTTGTGCCAAGCATGCCCCATTTCCTTGTGATCGCAGAGTCATATGGTTTCTGCCCGGCGAAGCAGGCGCTCTCGGCGTTGGGGTATGTCTCTGTTTCTTCATGCATTGTTTCGCCGATCGGCGCGGGCCCCTGCCCCCCCCCCCCCCCCACCGTTTCACATGCCAGATATTGGCTGCTTCTGGCGACTGGTAAAGACCCCTCCCCCCCAATCTGTTGGCGCGACTGGTAGACGCAGATCGACTGCGCACCGGCCCAGGCCCAGACCCCCTCCCCCCCCCCGACCTCCGGCCAACAGTCGAACCATGAATCTGCGAAAACGCTTGCAATATTCGGCCGAAGCGATCGAAGATTCGGACAGTAATGCAATTGAGAAGGGCATATCGTCCAAGTGAAGCTTGAATTTGGGCGATTGAAGGTCGCGATCAGTAGAGAGACGCTAAGCGTCCGAGGCTTCGATTCTGTCCTGATCCAGGACAAGACAGTGTCAGAGAGGAGCGGTTGCGAGTATGTGACCGACGGCCGCGTGAATATTGTCCTTGTCGCACAGCTGAATACTTGGTGAGACCAAGGTCGGGCGTTCGCGCCGCATGCTAAAGAATATCGCCTGACGATTCAGTACCCATTCTATGCAAGGCTACGGCTGTTCGCAGAGGTGCGTCTTTCCCTTTACCGTTGTTTGCTGTTGCTCCGTCCAGGAGTCCCATGAAGAAATCGCACGCGCAGCGTCCAGCACACGCTGGGCGCCGGTACGTTCCTTGCCTCGAAGCTGTAGATGCCCCCCCTCCTCTTCCTCCTCCTCCTCCTCCTCCTCCTCGTCCTCCTCCTCCTCCTCCTCCTCCTTCTCCTCCTCCTCCTCCTCCTTCTCCTCCTCCTCCCCCGAGGAGCACGTTGCCCGTTTCCTCGGGCCCAAGACTCCTTCAAGGCCGTGGGCCCGCCTGCGTGTTCAGTGCATGGCCGCATCAGTAGTGGCGAAGGTCTGGGCAGCAGAAGCGCAGGCAGTGGTGTCAGCAGGTAGAGACAGTAGCAGACGCAATGGTGGTGGTGGCTGTTGTCGTGGAAGATGCAGCTCATGGCATGCCTGGTGTTTTTTTGCAGTTCGTCTGTGCCTTCAGGCACGGCTCCAGGCGCGCCTCGTTTGCCACCTCTCCCATGTGGCATTCCCCCACTTCCACCCCCTCGTACGTCTTTCCCCGCCCCCTCTTGCCTTCCCTCCCACTATTCCCACCTCGGATGCAATTCCTGGAAAGTTCAAGTCGGCATCCGCGCTGGTATATCCTTGGTCGAAGACCGTCAGCGCCCAGCTGAGTATTGTCTAGTATGGCTTAGTCTTGGGCCTCATTCCGCTTAAAACTTGGCTGGTGGCCGCTCCATCAGATTCAATCGCCTTGAACCGATCTTGTTAAGACCTTTCAGGAGTTGCCCCCTAGCCCTCACCTGCCCGTCCTTCCTCCCCTGCGTGGTCCTTCATGGGAGTGTTAGGGTGTCCCACATGTCCTTGCGTTTGTTTGGAGTTTGTCCGGATTTCGCCGGGTTGGGTTTGCGTTTTGGCGACGTTTGAATGACAGTTCGACGAATTCTGGACGCAGGGGCACTTATGGGTGGTCGACATGTGGACGAAATCTAGTCGGAATCACGTTTATGGTAGGACAGTGGCGGTCCACATAGGTCCCCGCGAAGGCTCACCCAACGTCTCTCCCGTCGCCCTTGTGGGGGTCCTGGGGCCTCCTGGTTTAGTCGCGTGCCTGCTCCTCCTGGTCGCCTGGTTCTGGCCCCTTTGGGGCTCCTGCGGGCCCCTGTGAAGGCCTCTGGGGATCGGCCTCCGCCCGCCTGCTGTTGACTTGAGTGGACGACCCTCTCGTCGGTGGCGCCGCGGGCTCTGGTCGAGCGACCTCGTGAGGGATCGTGGTGGCCTCCAGCCTCCAGCCTCCCCAGCTCCCCCCCTCCGCGGGGACCGCTCCCAAGGCGGATGCGTTCAGGGGGAAGGGGGGGCGCTGGAGGAGGGACGGGGGCAAGAAGAAGGGTCGAATGGAGCCAAGACGAAGATACATCTGTTCCAGAGCGTTCCTGAACGCTTTAAAAGCGCTATGGATCGACATCTTCCAGAGCCGCCAGATCTCAGAGATTCTCGATTCATGTTGGCTATGTGTGCGTCGTCCCCCCAGGGGCGACGCGCGCGTCGAGAAATCCACACTATAACCTGCGTGTTGGGCGCTGTCTGGCCATATTGCTGGCGAAACGATATGCTACAACATGGTTATGCTATTTGTTCGGGTCGGACGCACGCTTCCAAGGCGGACACATAGTACTAGTATGTCCTTGCGCGTCCCATTATCCTCACCCGGTGTTATATTCGTCCTGGCTTCGTCTTAAAGGGGGGGATGCAGACGGGGATGGGGGGAGGGGAGGCGCGGGGAGAATGGAGGGATGGGTCGGAGAGGGGGGAGGAGGATCGGTGAGGTCAGGAGCGGCGTTGGGACGGTGGAGGTATAGGCCCCTCCCTGCACCCTCCTCCTCCCTGCTCTTCCCGCCCCCCCATCTCCCTCCATGTTGTTTTGTTCGCCGCCGAGTGCGAACGCGATTGGGCCCCCCCAAAGTTGCTAGTTCTAGCAGCCTGGGCACACCTCCCGCCCTGACCCGTTTTGTCGCACTCAGTGGGCTTTCGCCGGGCCCCTGGATTGGTAAAAGCGGACTCGGGATGAAAATCCGATCCCGGGAAATGGGTGGGGCAACTAGGCTTTGATATTTTTTGCCACGGTCGTTTTCGGTCGATTTCGGGCCCCATGGTCCGTCACACATCCATCCGGCTCGAGAGACACGACGCAGAAATATGGGGTCTGGAGCTCCAGTGGTATTTTTTCAATTTTGGCATTTTTCAGCCAACGACCAATCTGGAGGTCCTCCCGTCCCGTCCCGTGGGCCCCGCATGAACCCTCCCTGCCATCGCGTGAGCCAGCTCGGGCACGGCATGAACTCGCATCTGTCCCCGCGCGGCCGATGTCTCCACCCCGTAGGGATCTGGCGGTTTGCTAGCGCCCCGCGATCCTCACGCGAGCCGCGGGCGAGCCTCAGGCGAGCCTCGGGCGAGCCGTAGGCGAGCCTCGACCGAGCCTCGGGCGGATTCCCGTCCCGTCCCGTCCCAGATCCCCTGCCACGGGGCGCCAGCCTTGCCCACTCCTGGCGTGCCCGCCGCCACTTCTTGGCCCAAGCGCGCGATATCATAGCCGTGCCTGGCATTTGTCCCCACGGCGTGCCCGGAAGGCGCCACCTGTTCAGTCGACTACGCGTAAGGTGACCGTTGGCCCCTCGACCGCTAAAATCGGTGGGCTAGCATTGGCTTGCGCGCTCGGGTCGGGCCCTCCCCGCACCCCCCTGAAGCCGTGCACCAAAGGTCACTCTTGCCCAGGGTCAGCCGATGCAGATCCTGGCCAGACTGGTTCCGGGCCTGGGCCCGGTGCAGATGCCCTCGTGGCCAAACCAAGAGGGCGCGCACGCCGATCCCAGGCCCTGGGATGGGCGTCGCCAGGGTCATGCACACAGAGATCTGGCGGCGCGATTGTTTCACGATGTGGACCCCCAGAGGTCGTTCGACCTTCCCCCAGGGACCAGCTTTTCATCCCGCGGCCAATTTTTCGCCGGTCCCGGGGCCCGTGAGGGCCCCTGGAGGCCGAAAATTGCCAACAGCCTCCCGCCGTGATTTTTCCACGGCCTTGAGATCCGACGTTGCGAAACAATTGCAAAGTGGCGAAACAGCACGACTGAAGCTCTCGACTCCATCTCCCCGCGACGTTTTTCGAGCCAGATCGATCCGTCATGGCCGCAGGTCTCGAACTCCAGGCGACAATGACCGGCGTGAAAAAATCGCACCGCCCATATTTGAAGGGACGCGAGGGGGCCTGGTCAGTCGGCGCCCTCCGGCTTCAGCCGGCTTCAGATCAGCAGCGTGGCGCGATTTTTCACGACGTGGACCCCCGAGGTCTGTTGACCCCTTCCCAGGGACCAGCTTTTCATCCCAAGTTGTTTACTGACGGTCTTGGGACCAGCTTTTCATCCCAAGGGTTTCCAGAGGCCGAAAATGGCCCAAAGCCTGCCGCCGTGCTCTCTTGACGACGCGAGGAGGTCTGGGCTGTTGGCGCCCTCTGGATTCAGACCGGCAGCATGGCCGCCCCCCGCTCCGCCGTCCTGACGGTGGCTGTCCTGGCCGCCTGCGGCGCACTGGCCGCCACCTTCGTGCCGTCCCCGGCGCGCCAGGCCGCCGCCGCCGCCAGCTCGCCCACGACGACGACGCCGCCGCCGACGCCGCTGACGCAGCCGACGCCGCCGACGCCGACGTAGCCGACGTAGCCGACGCCGACGACGCCGACGCCGACGCCCACGCCGACGACTCCCTCCTGGCCGCGGCGCGCGAGGCGCCGGTGCCGGTCGCGGCGCTGAGCGCCGCCGCGCTCGTGGCCCCGACGGCCGCACACGCCGAGGGCGACTCGTCGTGGCGTTTTTTTTGTTCGAGGATCCGTGGGCGAGGACCCAGGGTCGAGGGGATCGAGGATCGATGGGACCGAGGATCGATGGGATAGAGGGTCGAGGGGATCGATGGTCAAAGATCGAGGGTCGAGGATCGAGGGTGTGATTCCAGAAGACTCGCTAATCTTCTCACCTGCTGTCTGACGCCGCCCATTTGGCTTTCATCATTTTCCAGAGCCCTTGGCGAATTGAGCTACGACCTCTGCCGCGCTGAGCGAAAGAAAAGCACAATCAGCGGTAATCTTCCATATCACAGTGGTAGTTTGGAGCTTGGCTCGCTATCCTCGGCCCGCGGGGCCGCCCACGACGACGACGTCCGCGACGTTAGAATCGAAGACCAGCGTCCTCCTGGTGATCTGCGCCACCCAGCTGCTGCGCAGCACACACGCCAGCGTCCGCGACGCTAGCAACGCCTACTACGCGTACCCCGCCAACTCTCACGCCAACGTCATCTATCCCTTCACTCACGCCTACTACGCCTGCAACGCCAACTCCCACGCCAGCGTCAGCGACGCCAGCGTTCACGGCTACTACGCCTCCAACGCCAACTTCCACGCCAGCGTCGGCGACGCCAGCAGTCACGCCTACTACGCTTTCGCCGCCAATTCCTACGCCGACGTCAGCGACGCCAGCACCTACGCCCTATGCCCACAGCGCCTACCCCCAGAACTTTCAAGCGACGCCGCCAAGTTCGATTTCCCGTCCCCCCAGAATTTCAGCGAAGCCGCCGAGTTTACTTTCACTTACTCCCAGAACAGCAGCGACGCCGCCGAGTTCGTTTTCTTTCACTCCCAGGACTTCAGCGAAGCCACAGAGGTCGATTTCCTTTGCTTCGACTACCCTTTCGCAAAGACGACGGACATTTCTCACAATTTCGGACAGTCAGTTATACTGACATAGAACGGATACCCCTCGAAGTGGAGAGACTACAAGCAGGAGGTGAAGCTGTGGAAGCTCAGCGAGAACCTCCCAGTCACGCAGAGTCTCGCGTCGAAGCTCGTGCTCAGGCTCAGCGGAGCAGCGAGAACCGCAGCATTGAATATGACGGAGGAGCAGCTGCACCCGGCAGCTACAGCAGACATCGAGGACGCCGACGAGAAGATGTGCAACAGGAATGTTTTACAGCGCTTGGAGGCGAATTTGGGTCAGCAGGAGCCCGCGCAGAAGGGCGATGCCCTCGAAGAGTTTGTCGAATCTACCCAGCATCGCCGATGGCGAGGTGCACGAATGACGGACTGGCTCATCCGCTTCGAAATTGGTCTACAGCAGCTACGTGAGAACGAGGTGGACCTCAACGCGCTGGACGACGTAGCGGGATGGTTCCTGTTGCGAAAGGCCGGTCTCACGGCCGAGCGCCGCGAGCGCGTCGTGGGCAACGTGCCCGACGAACGCTGCGGCTACCAGCGCATCCGTGGACTGCCGGCGCGGATGTTTCCGGACCTCCACGATTCCGAGCGCCGCGCCGCGCCGCCGCTGAGGACGCGGGGCAACCAGTCGCGGCCCCATGGCGGCTGGCGCAGCGACGCTTCTTCCAGCCGCGGAGGGCGACCCACTGTCGTCGTCGACGGGCCCGCCGACGAGGGCGAGCCCGTCGACGACGCCCAGGACATCGCTCGTCAGGAGCTCGAGTCCTTCAGCGCCGAGCTCGAGTCCTCCAGCGTGGACATCTCCGAGTTGTTCGACGGCGACGACTCTGCTATGGTCGAGGCCGCCGCGGCGGAGCTTGCCGCTATTTCGGAGGCCATGGCCGCCATCAGGTCAGCCCGCGAGGGCCTGGATGGCCGCGGCGAGTCGAACAGGTCCGCGCCGTCTCGCCGCCCCGCCGAGCTCCAGAGCCGGGTCGACAGCGCAAGAAGACGTCGCAGTGCTGGGGCTGCGGCGAGACCGGGCGCTGGACGGGAGACAAGGGGCGCCCCGCGCCGGGCGCTCGAAAGTTCGCGCCCAAGGACGGCAAGTCCAAGGGCTGTGGGCGGGGGGGCGAGGAGGTCGCCCGTAGCGCCAGGCGCGCGTCGCCGAGCAGGTCCAGTTCGCGCGCGATGAAATTGCCATTCGCCCGCAGGGGCCTGCGTCGCCGCCCCCCTTCAGGCCTGCGTCTCAGAGCAGCTGATTCACCACCTGCCGAACGTGGGCGTCGCGATCGGCAACGGGGGGCCCGCGGGCGAAGGCGTCGGCGCGGTGGATGCCGGCTGCCTCTTCTGCGTCTCGGGACAACTACAAGGGCACCCCCGCCAGAATGCGCCTCGCCGACCAGATCCTCGAGGAGCCCGAAGACGATATCTACAGGTTCGGCAGCGGAGGCGCTCTCCCGAGCAAGCTGCGCGTCACCGCGCCGCTCGCGCTCTGCGGCCAGGCCGGCCGCGACGCGTTCAGCGTCGTGGGCGGCCCGGCGCTTGGCCTGCTCGTCGGCCGCGACATCATGCAGCCTTTCAAGATCGACTTTTCTCTTTGGAAGGGCCAGATCCGCATCGGGAGCTCCGCCCAGAAGCTCATGGCGAGCGCCGCGGACCACCCCGCGATCAAGTTGCAGCCAGAGGACTGGCGGGCCATCATGGACGCTGGCACGGAGCGACCTGCCAAGCCAGCCAGCCGACCCTTGAAGGTGAGCGACAAACCTACGGTCAACGCTACGATCAAGACCGGCACGCTCATCGATGCGATTAGCACGCTCGTCGCGAAGAAAGAGCCGAACGTCCCGAGGCGACTCCAGCCTCGTCGACCAAAGGGGTCGCGGCTTTAGTCTGCCGTGGCTTCAGCTCTGGTTCGCTGCTTCACCGCAGCGCCAGCTCCGAACCTCACGTTGGCGACGGCGCCGCAGATCACCTCCCCCGCGACGTGCGTGACCGAGCCGCTGCAGGACTGCACCGCCTGCGGCGAGAAGGCCCGCGAGGTCTGCAGCCGCTGCGGCTCCTGCTCGGACTGCGCCTTCGGCGCGACCGTGGCTCTGGGCTATGACCAGAGACTCGAAGGCATCACAGATGCAAGTCCCGGACCCGAGGTCAACATCGCGGAGGAGGAGCAGCTGCGCGTGCGGGCGCTCAACAAGGGGGCGAAGCCGCAGCTGATCGCAAGCAAGCGTTCGGCTTTCTTTACCGGGAAGAGCGGCATCTAGCCGCGTCAAATCAGCCAGGCCATGGTCACCAACCTGGCGAAATCTATTACCATATCCAGCTCGACCCTCACAGCGAGGAACGCCGTGCTTTACGAGGAGTGCTGCAATCCGGACAGTCAGCTCTGTGCTACCTGGAGGAAGAAGGGAGGAGCTGCTGTCAGATGCTGTCTTCCAGGCTGCGACCTCTCGAAACGGCTCGTGGTCAACCAGCTGGAGGGCAGGGCCAGGTCCAACCTTGCCAGTGGTGAGAGTGCGCGAGTTGACGCTGTATTACTTTTCCAGCCGTGGACCTCACTACAGCGACTTGTCGCGAAGATCGACCCGAGTATGGTCCCGCAGTTCAAGAAGGATCGGGCCGAGTCCAAGCTCATGAACGGACTGCTCCTGCAGGCCATGTCCCGGCTGCGCAAAGAGTTCGGCGCCCAGCTCGCCGTCTCGTTCGAGTGGCCGAGGTTCGGCGACGGATGGGGGCCCAACAAGGAGTCGACCGCCACGCAGCTGAAGGAGCAGCTCCCGCGAGTCATAGGCTTCGACGGCTGCGCGTTCGACCTCAAGACGAAGCAGGGCGTCCGCATCAAGAAGCCGTGGAGGATCGTCGCCGACCACTACGGGTTTGACGACTCGCTCAGGAGGTTCTGCGATGGGTCGCATCCCCACGCCGAGGCTCGCGGCCAGATCGCGAATAACAGCGATAACTACATGCAAAAGCTCGTGGAGGCGTTGGCCGGCCAACTGCAGCGACCAAGCCGCCGACCCCTACGCGAAGCACACCCTGCAGCCGCAGCCGCACAGGAATGAGCGCTCGCGGCCGCGGAGGAGCGGGCGCTCAGGTCCGCCGCGATACAGCTCCACGTGAACACGGGGCACCCGTCCCACGACTCGCTTGCCCGAGCTATCCGCGTGACGGGCGGATCGCAGAGATCCGTGGAGGGGGCTCTCAACCTCTACTGTGAGGTCTGTGCGGCGCATCAACGGCCGCTACCACACCTGCCGGGCAGGATCAGAGTGGACGGGGATTTCAACGATTCCACCCGAGTAGACCTTTATCCTGGACGACTTCGCGGGCAATTAGCTGATCTATCTGAACGTGGTCGACCTGGCCTCGGGTTTTACGCTGTGCGGCACGATTGCGTCTAGGCATCCACCAGCTGCATTCGCTCGACTGCTACAGATTTGGATCGCGTTTTTCGGCGCGCTTCAACGCATCATATTTGATGAAGGAGGCGAGTTCGAGCGAGAGTTCTCCAAGGAGCTGGGGGGCATGGGTTGGCGGCTGCGCCGCAGCGGGATGCTACCGTGGAGCGACATGGAGACACGTGGAAGGTGCTCGCGAGGAAGCTGATCGACCAGTTCAGCATCAGGTTCGACCAGCCCGAGATAGCCCACAGGGTCCAGTGGCTGATCGCCTCCGTGTGTTGGGCCATGAACAGCCAGGTCAACTCCACGGGCTACTCGCCGTCGCAGTGGGTGCTCGGGCGAAGCCTTCGGCTTCCCTGCTGCTTGCTGGGCAGCGCGGGCAGGCTTTCCCTGCGCGAGCGCATCGTGTCCGACAAGCCGATCTCGGAAAGGGCCGCCATCCTGATGGCCGCGCAGATCTCCACGCAGCAGCTGAGTATCAACCAGTCCCTCTCGAGAGCGCTGCTGGCCCGGTCTCGGGCAGATGGATCTCAGCGCGCCAGCGACGTTTACCAGACTGGCGACCAGGTGTACTACTGGAGGGGCAACGGCAAGCCGAAGCGGCACTGGGCTTTGCAGTGGCACGGGCCTGGCGTCACCATCGGGTTCGACGGCGCCTCGAACGTCTGGGTCAGCCGCCGCTCCACGACCGTGGAGGTAAACCGTGGAC